GACCATTGATCCTTTCGATTGCTCTACCTGATTTTTAAAAAAATTTATTTCCGCCCTGGCCGGTTTGGCTCAGTGGTTAAAGCGTTGGCCTGTGGTCTGGAGAGACCCGGGTTCGGTTCCTGCTAAGGGCACGTACCTCGGTTGCAGTTTATCCCCGTGGGTCGTGTGGGTGGCGACCACTCGATGTGTCCCTTTCACATTGATGTTTCTCTCTCTCTCTCTCTCTCCCTCCCACTCCATCTGAACAAAATATCAAAAAATGTCCTCGGGTGAGGATAAAAAAAAAAAGTTTTATTTCCTGCGACAGACGTAATTTGTTTTATAGCTTAAAAAAAAAAGTTGCGCTTTTGAATTTCCGTGCTTTTTCCTGCTTCACATCAGGCCAAGTGCTTGAAAAATTAAAACCTATATGCTTGCATTTTCATGGTTGTCATGACGATTTCATTCCTGGACTGTCTCCTGTCAGCCGTGAGAGGTGAGGCATCAGTAAAATGCCTTTTGCTTACGTGTGTTTAGGGTTGAGTGGCCTGTATGTGCCCAGTGCAGGTTTAAATTTGCCATCTCCCCCTCCTCATCTTCATAGTTGTGCAGCCCATCACGGGCGTAGTTGTAGGCAAGCACCTGTCATCATTCTTGAGGGGAGAAGGACATTACAGGGTTACACTGTGTGCTGAACTCCGCCTTTGGGCTGAACCATTAAACACTGCATTCGAGAAGTACTTCTTTATAAAACATTTTTTTCTTTATTAATTTTAGAGGTAGAAGGAGAGAGAGAGAGAAACATTGATGGCAGAGAACATAGCTTGGCTGCCTCCTGCATGCCCCCCACTGGGGATCTGGCCCACGACCTGGGCATGTGTCCTGACTGGGAATCGAACCGGTGACCTCTTGGTGCATGGGTTGATGCTCAACCACTGAGCCACACCAGCTGAGCTGATAAGTACTTCTTTTTCATCAGTTTTAGTGGTCAAAAAGAATCCTAGTAAGAAGAGTATTTTTAGGGTCACCTAGTACATACTGCTTGTCTTTAGATTTGTACCATTCAGGGAAATGATTCTCTCTTCCTGTTTTAATGTTGTTAAGAAAACAGCCTTTCCTTGGTAAACCTCCAAATTATCATTACAGGCACACATGAAGATGATTATAAAGTTGGGGATAATGAAGAGCAGGGGCAGCACTATAGATATCACTTATGTTCTCTGTCTTCATTCTGTATCTGTTTTCCAAAAGTGGAACTCTAACAGTGTTCCTAGCTAACAGTCATTGAGCGTTCACTGTCTGCTGAGCACGGTTGTATGTGCTTTTGGTGTATCAATTAATTTGGACTTCACAGAGTAGTCCTATAAAGTAGTAGGTTGTATCCCATTTTACAGACGAGGAAACAGGCACAATAGGTTAACTAACTCTTCCAAAATCACGATTACTGAGTTTCAGAGCTGAGATCTAAATTCAGGCCATGTGATACGGTGACCCCAGCTCTCAACTGTAAACGTTCTGTCTGTGCGACCCGTCCTGCTGCAGCCATTGGAGAGCTGGCTGCTCAGGGTTTCCTGTCCTAAGGATAACGTCCAGCGCTAGCACCACCCTTTCGTTCTCACTTCTCTGGCCACAGCGTGCATTTCCAGGACACCCCTTTTCCCTGCGTGTTCTTCCTCTCTGTGTCTCTGTCTCTGTCACGCTCTCCCTCTTACTTTTCTGTCTTTGTTGACCTTCTCTCTTTCTGCTGTTCTGATTTGCACAGCAGCTCGCTCTCCTGCCCTGGGATGCTTGTATTCTGCTTCTCTGCTCGCTTCGTTTTCTTCTTCCACAGCCGGAAGTTTCACCGGGGTCTGAAGTTCTTCCTGTTTGCTTCCCCCCTGCTTTGTCCCGCTGCGAGGACAGAAGCTGCCTCTCTCTCCTCGGTTCTTTAGTGACTAAAAGAGTTCTTAGAAGTACTAGCTGAATGGCTGTCTGCCCAGTTGATTACCAGATGATGTTTGTAACCCCCTTTATGTATATATACAGGCACTCATTCTATGTGTATTAAATAAATAAAAACTAAATGATTACTGCCAGTCCTGGTATATGTATGTTCTGATATGTACGTTACTATATGCAGCCATTTTTACATAGAATCTATTAACTTACATCAGTCGCAATGATCCTCCAATATTTCTTAGTAGCCTTGGATAGCAAAAAGCAGTAACTTAAGAACACTTAGGTCTCCTGCCAAGATGTTAAAGTAAGTTAAAATCTTTAATCACTAAAAGTTTTATGAGAAATATATTTTCAAAATTATGATGGAAAATTACACCTAAAGGAATAGAGCAGGAATACATTAGAGGAGGAAAAGTGGTAAAATTTGCCAAAGTACCAAGTTGTGAAGGAACAGAACAAAATTCAGAATCAGAAAGGTATGTAATGTTTCAATAACCGGAAAAATGCAATTTTTATGCTTTAGTGTAGATAAAGTATGTTATCTGTGTGGTCACGTGGAGGTCACTGAAGATTATGAGGCTTTCCTTGGTAGTACACGTGGTTGGATGCTTACCTTTTATTTATTTGAAATGTAAATTTTACATTTCTCTTTGTTAAAAGGTCCTTATGTGTGCAGTGATTTTTTGTGTGTGTGATGGCATACAGCGTGACCTTTTTTTTAATTCATTTTTTACACTTGATGGGTTAAGACCTAAAATGTTGGTTTTTTAACTCCGATTTCTATTTTTCGATCGTCACACTTAGAGTATGTCTGTGAAGAGATTGTGTAGTTGGCATGGGCATCATAATTCAGGGAATGCCATCGAGCGGTAGATGCATCGTGATGAGATCAGCTGCCTCAGATAAGCTGAGGTTGTCTGCGCCACCTCTATGGGAATGTGCAAAGACCCAAATTTCAGGACAGGACTCGTGCCACTTGTAAATCAGAGAGCTGATGTGCAGTGGATCACTGCATCCTTGTCTGGAAACAGGCTATTCCCAGAGAGTACTGGCCCTGGGTGTAAAGGCATCTGAGGATACAAATGTATCAGTGTTTACCCCACGCTGTCCCGATAAGACTGAACCCACTAGTCATGAATAGTAGTCATTAGAGAAACATTTGCTCTGGTTCATTTGTTTTGTTTTCTTTAAATGGGTTTTTATTGATTTTCTTAGAGGAGGGGAGAAAGAGAGAGAAACATCAACGTGAGAGCGAAACATCGATAGCTGCCTTCTGCACGCCCTCCACTGGGGATCGATTCCACGACCCAGGCATGTGCCCTGACTGGGAATCGAGCAGGGACGATGCTCAGTCCACTGAGCCACTTGGGCCAGGCCTTTTTATTGTTCTTAATGTACTAGCTTTCTTTTCCTACTGTGCCATCTAAGGTTGTTAATGACCTTGTCCCTGAGCCCCGGAGGCGTCTCTGTCTCTCATCCACGTGTCTCCCGGCGGGAGCCCTCCCTGCAGCATCAGCGGTGGCTGCTTCCTCCTCCCTCTTCTCTGATGCTTCACTCTTTCCTTCCAAGGTTTTTACACGTGCCATCTAGTAGTAAATTCTGGTATTATATCGTGTTTATTATTTTATATCCTATTTAACACCTTGCATTTTCACGTGGATTTTAGTGGCCATTATATGGACATACCATAATCTTAAAAACCATAAAAGGTCATGCCCTGGCTGGTGGGGCTCGGTTGGGCGATGTCCTGTGTGCCGCAAGGTTGCTGGTTCAAGGCCCTGTCAGGGCACGTGCCCGGGTTGCCGGCTCAGTCCGAGGGTTGTGCAGGAGGCAGCAGGTCGATGTTCTTCTCTCACATCGTCGTTTCTCTCTCTTCTTCACTCTCTAAAAAGCTCTAGAGCCCTGGCCGATTTGGCTCAGCGGTTAGAGCATCGGCCCGTGGACCAGACAGTCCTGAGTTTGGTTCTTGCTAAGGGCACGGACCTCGGTTGCAGTTTGCCCCTGGCACCAGTTGGGGTCTTGTGGGTGGCAACCAGTCAATGTGTCTCTCTCACATGGATGTTTCTTTCTCTCTCTTCCCACCTCTCTCCCTCCTGCTCTATCTGAAGATAAATGCAAAAATCTCTGTGGGTGAGGATAAAAAAAAAAAAATCAATAGAAATATTTTTTAAAAATCATAAAAAATTATAAAATAAATGGCTCATTTTAGAAAGCTTCTGCCATAGTATTATATTAAAATCATTTTGAAACTATATGTAAGAAAGTGGAATAGTAGACAAAAGTTATATAGTTTGTACAATTTACTGATAAGTGAAAGACTAATGAAGGGCAGTAACCATCACTGTAATAAACAAGGAAAACACGACCTTAAGCCAAGTCACTGGGAACGTTCTCTCTTTGTCTCCTCATGTTGAAGTAGCGTCGTGCTGGGTCTCTAAGCCCCTCCGGTGGGCCGCTCTGGCCTGTGCATTCGGACATGGAGAGAGGTCTGCATTGCCTTGTCCTCCGGATCACCCCACTTTGTTCTGTGGGGTGTGGTCATTACAGACTGCAGTGTACATACACATAAAGTTAATTTAAAGAGTGTCCTGTTCACTGCTTTATTAAATTACTTGTCCTGTGGCATTGGTTTTCCTTCTAGTGGACCCAAATACCTACCGTGGGAATTTATCTGATTTTTGTATTTGTGTAAATAGATGATAGAGCCTGTAATTGCTACAGTAAATGATTTTTATTTGCATTTGAAAACACATCGCATGTAGTGATTAATGCTTTAAAGTATGAATATGAACACAGAAGAATAGAGAGTTGTGAAAAATTTCATGTGTCAGTAACAATATATTCAATGAAAATACCCCCTGTAATAGTCTGGTGGCAAACTGAAATTTCACCTCTTTTATTTCAGTGAATTCAGCAGCTTGTGGTGCTTGATCCTTACGCTTTATGTGAATTCTGAGTCATTTCTTTAGTAAAAATAATGTATTATTAAGGAAGTTGAAAACATTATTTTGCTGGGACATTCGTTTAGTTAAGAGTCAAGTCACATATTTCATTTACTTACTGCGTCTGTCCCCACTTCCCAGGAACATATTTGGTCTGCGACCTGCGGACTGTACAGACTGCGAGACGACGAAATCGCTGCTGCTGCCGCCAGAGAAGAGCGAGTCAGCAACCAGCCACTGCTCAGTGGTGAGTGTGGATTTAGTTTGGGGAAATTTATATCTTTTACTGAAATTGGTTATGAAAGAAGCATAATGGGAAAATTTCCAGTTGCTTTCCTTCACTAAGCAGTTACTGAGCACTTCCTGTGTGTTAGCCGTTGTGAACTTGAAGACATAATCAGAATAAAGATGCCAACAAGTACTCGTCGCACGTCCCCTCTGTGTTTTAGGAAGCATTCATACGCAGTAGGTGTGACCGATGGAACTCTTATTCTTAGAGAGCTCGCGTTGTAGTGGGATGGAGGAAGCACGGCACCTGTGTAAGGTACATGCATCAAACAATTCCAGGAGCTTCCACGTGGGCGCTGCGACGAAGGTCTGTGGCTCCGTGGACGTGGTGGACCCCCGCTGAGGCGCTGCTTTGCATCGGGGTCATTGAGGAGAGCCTCCAAAGAGTGGGTGCTTGATTTGATACCCACGAGGGGCCGAGGCAGCCAGTGGGTGCAGAGGACCGGTGCGCCGGGCAGGGGAACAGCAGTGGACAGGCCCCTCGGTGGAGGAGCGTGTCACATTGGAAGGACAGAGAGAACGTCGTCATTACTGGCAACTAGCGAGGCTAGGACTAGTGAAAAAACACCGAAAGGACTTAAAGCAAAGGGAGGACATGATTTAATTTGTGCTTTATTATTATTATTTTTTTTATCCTCACCCGAGGACATTTTTCCATTTTTTGTTCAGGTAGAGTGGGAGGGAGAGAGAGGAAGAGAGAGAGAAACATCGACGTGAAGGGACACATCGAGTGGCTGCCACCCGCACAACCGACCAGGGCCGGGGACAAACTGCAACCGAGGTACACGCCCTTAGCGGGAACCGAACCCGGGTCTCTCAGGACCGCAGGCTGACGCTCTAACCGCTGAGCCAAACCGGCCAGGGCTAATTTGTGCTTTAGAAAGTTCACTGCAGCTGCTTTGTAATAAAGAGACCAAGGGGCGGGGGCAAGAACGGCAGCAGGGAGATTGCTCAGGATAAAGGTACATAAGGCAGGTTTAAGGTAATAGTGAGGACCGTGAGAAGTGATGCGGGTTAGTACGTGTTTTCAGTTAGTGCTGCCGTAGAGAAGGAAGGTAATAGTTCTGTGTGTGAGTCTGTAGCTTACAGAGGTGCCAGCTGGAGATAAACCCATAGTTTAGTGGGGAAAATAATGTAAAAAGTTTAAAAATTCATGGACACAGCCAACAGTCTGGTGATTACCAGAGGGCAAGGGGGTAGGGAGAGGCAGAGGGTATGGGGAGGATGAATGGTGGTGGAGGAGACGTGACTTGAGGTGGTGAACACACAATACAGTGTACAGATGAAGTATTGTAGAATTGTGCACCAGAAACATATGTTCTTATTAATCAATGTCACCCCACTAAATTCAATAAAAAAGAAAAAAAATATTACACATGTAATAAATTCATAATAGAAGCCATAAAGATGTTCAGTAGAATTATACAGAAGGAAAAAACTAACTTCGGGAGGAATCAGGGATTACTTCACAGAGAATGTTACAATGAACATGTCTAAGACCTTCTCTATGAAGCCTTTAAAGGTAAAAGCTTGCCAGGTGGTGTGGCTCAGAGGATTGGGCGTCCGCTCATGGACTGAGAGGTCCTAGTTCGATTCCTGGTCAGGGCACATGCTGGGGTTGCTGGCTCGATCCCCACTGGGGGTGTGCAGGAGGCAGCCAGTCGATGTTTCTCTTTCATCGATGTTTCTATCTCTTCCTCAACAAAATCAATAAAAATATATAGTTTTTTAAAAAAGTAAAAGCTTTAATGAGGTATCTAATAGAATACTGTTGGTATAAAGAATCCCTACAACTCAATAACAAAAAATCCATTTGATTATAAAATGAGCAGAGAATCTGAATAGACATTTTTCTGAAGAGGAATACACGTGACCAATAGGCATATAAAAAGATGCTCAGTGTCACTGATCACTGGGGAAATGCAAATTAAAACCACAATTAGAGTCACACCTGTTGGAATAGCTATTATAAAAAAGACAAGAAATAAGTGTTGATGAAGATATGGACAAAAGAGAACACCTTATGCACTGTTGGTAGGAAGCTAAATTGGTGCAGTCACTATGGAAAATAGTGTGGAAGTTCCCCAAAAATTCAAAATAGAACTACCGTATGATCCAGCAATTCCGCTTCTGGGTATTTATCAAAAGAAACCAAAAACCCTACCTTGAAAGATATTTGCACACCCTGTGTTCATTGAAGCATTGTTTATGAAGCCAAGATAAGCAACCTAAATGTCCATTGATGGGTGAATGGATTAAGAAAAAAATACACACACAAATACATACATACAGAATGGAATAATATTCAGCCATAAAAACCAAAGAAATCTTTCCATTTGTGACAGTGTGGAGGCACATTGAGGACACTATACTAAGTGAAATAGACAGAAAAAGACAACTACTGTGTGATCTCACTTAACTGGAATCTAAAAGCAACAAACAAAACCTCCCCCAAAAACCTGAGCCAGGATGCAAAGAACAGATTGAAAGTTGTTAAGAGAGTAGGTCATAAAAGTTCTCATCATAAGAAAAAAAAAAGTAACTCTTTGGCGATGGTTGTTAACTATACTTACTGTGGTTTAGTTTTTCTGTATATACATATGTCGAATCATTATGTTGTACATCTGGAGCTAATATAATGCTGTATCTCAGCTATATCTTAGTTTAGAAAGAAAATGTTATTAGCTGAAAATAACAGAAAACTTTCACTCAAATATGTAAAGACCGTGTACAGCTTATATGAAGATAATCCCAATATAAGGTAGCTTTCCACTTGGTAGCTCAGCAGTTAAGTGGCTGCACCAAAGACCTGGTTTCCCACCATCTTCATTCTTTGCCATCCTCAGCTTTGTCTTCACTAACCCTCCCCAGTGGTTGTAGGACGATGGCTGCAGTTTCAGATGGGACAGTGTCTGGTGTTAAAAGGATGAAAACATTTCCCAGAAGCCTTCAGTGGACGTTCTTCCTGTCCCATTTGTCAGAACTGGTCACACGGTTGGTTTTGACATACGTCATGGTTGAAGATAGGGTTAGTCCTTGAAGAGTGGTATCTGAACAGGGCTGGGATTCTTACAGTGTGTAAGAAGTGAGGAATGGGCTTTGAGTGGACAGCCAACAGTGCCCACTGCCGTCAGGTATGCAGAGGGTGGCAGGCCCGATGGAAGGAGCAGCTGCTCAGAGACGGGACGGCACGGAGGACCTTGGCCGTCTGAGAACCAGAGTTTAGTGTGAGGAGCGTGAGTGTGTTAAGAGGAATGGACAGTGAAGAGCTGGGTTGGATCAGATGGTGCAAGGCCTCGAATGCCCCGAGATTAGACTTTATTTCCCTGGTTAGCGGGCACCCTCAGGGTGCTTTTAATGGGGTGGGACAAGACTGAAGACTGGCTAGGAGGCTGTGGTGGTAAGTCCAGGTGTGCTGTGCTCAGGAAGTAGGGCGGCGGTGGTGGTGTGGGATGGGCAGGATGAGAGGGTTTCACAGAGAGTGGATGGAGGACTCACTATATTTAGCACCTGCTCAGATGGAGGAAACAAGAGAAAGGAATATGTTGACATGTAGGACCCCTAGAGAAGACTTCTTGTCTAGTAAAGGCAGCGGCGATGAGCTGGAAGAGAACCTAGAAGTCAGGTTAATTTCCTCATTTTAGAAATGAGGAAGTTGAGACCTAGGAAGGTTGTGATCTGCCCTGGGTTAATCAGGCATACAAAAAATTTTTTTGAATGGATCAGTTAGAACACAAATTATTCAAATCTTAGGTCAGTACTCGTTCAGTCTCCGCATACTTAACTATAAATTGGCACTTATTTTATTCATTTGAACTTGAACTCTTCTGGCAGAACATAGCATAACTAAGTTGTCATTTGCCAGCATTCCTTTTATGTAAAAGCTAGAAAAAGATTATTTAAAGTGTGTCAAAAATAAGATAATCTTTATGGTATTCTTGGAGTCTGAGGATATGAATGCCCTTCAGAAAGGAGCAAAGTGATTATCCTCCTCCCGGTTGAATACTCCAGTTACTATTGTGTTTTTATTTATTTATTTTCTTTTATTTATTTTTTATCCTCAAGGACTTTTTTTTTTATTTTTTGATCAGATGGAGTGAGAGAGAGAGAGAAACATCAACATGAAAGGGACCTGAGTGGCTGCCACCCACATGACCCACCAGGGTCAGGGACAAACTGCAACTGAGGTACGTGCCCTTAACAGGAGCCGAACCCGGGTCTCTCCGGACCGCATGGCAATGCTCCAACCACTGCGCCAAACCGGCCAGGGCTGTTGTGTTTTTGTTAAATGTAGGAAACCTATGCTTTCTGCACGTCACATGGACATGGCCAGTGAATACCATTATTTACTATCTTAATGGTAGATTCTTGACTAAGGAAAAGATAACGAATGATAAGTTCTGAGTTGAAAGGGATTTTCTTTATGCTCATTCTTAAAACCGAAGCTCTGGAGTCTGCCGTACTCCAGCCCCCAGACTCCCTGCTCTCATTCTTTCTCAGCACATGGCTGTCTCGCAGTTGCTTGAATCCGCCCAACGTGCCCCATTTTAGATCCTCAGCACTAGCTCTTGTCTCTGCCAATGACAAATGTGGGGACCAGATGTCCACATGGCTCCTCGCTTTCTTCGGATTCGACTCCACTGTCGTCTCACCGAAGAGATCTCTCTTCTACAGTATATTAAGTATATACCAGTGCCTCTAAGCCCCTGCCCTGCTTTGTCACCTAGCATTGTCTATATATTGTGGATATTGTCCCCCAACTAGGATGTAAACACTGAGGGCAGGCACTTGCCTCCTGGGTTAACTATGGTAGTCCCCACACTGAGAACAGTGTCTGGCGCACAGCTGTGCTCAGCAGGTGCGTGTGGAGTGTGCATGGCCGTGAGGGTGGTTCAGGACACGTGCTCGCCCCTGAAACCGGCACCAGCGCCTCGTCCTTGGGTCTGAAAGCGCTCAGATCAGTGACTTCTGAGTGATTCTGCGAGACATCGAGACATCGGTGAAAGGGGGTGGGGCTTGACTTCCTCTGCTAACCATTCAGAAGGTTTGTCAGTGTCAAGTGAAGATGAATGGCCCTTGAAAAGCATTTTTAAATTTGAGAAGCAGTCTGGGGGCTTAAAGACTTAAAAAGCTCCTTGCTCTGTTCATTTGTTCGTTTGTGACTTCTCTGCCCGTGATCCCGTAGAGCCGCATGTTGATCCTATTTCTTCTTCTCAAAACTTCTAAGCCCTGTTTTTGATAAACTCATTAATTAAGAATAACTAATTTATCTAAGAATATGTTCCATGTCAAATTATCCCTTAAATAAGAATTTAATGTCCGTGTACATAGTATCTAATCGCTATAAAATCAGGGTTTTGGACCCCTTGGGGTGTTTTTCGAATGTGTTTTGAAGCTCATGGTTCTGAGACCTCTGCTTATTCAGACCCAGCACCCTACCCCCACCCCCACCCCCACCCCGCCCTCACTCCGGCCCCTGGCACACATGTGCTTCACTTGTGTTTGCTCTGTGTTTTATTTTCTTATTGGCATTTCTGAACTGTGAGAAATTAGTGCCAGTTTCTGTTTCTTGAATTCACATTTAAAAACGGTGCTAGGAAAAGTCTGGACCCACTTCGGTGCTTTCCTTGGGTTGGTAGAAATAGTATCATATCCTATATTTGGAATTGATACCTTTCCACTCTTGTATTTTGTGTAGAGAACTAATTTAGCCGAAGTGAAGTTATATAAATTAGAAAGTAAACTGTTCCATTTGGAGCTATTTTATGGCACTTATTTGTATAACTGACAAGAATTACTGAAATACTGTTGTTGTTTTTAATATCACCATTGTGCAGTCATTCAACAATCTGTGGGGTATGCTGAACTGTTTTCACGTTGTGGCGTGTTGACAATGTTTAGGGTGGACGAGGTTTACCGCGCTGCAGTTCAGTGTCTAGGAAAGACAGCTGGGCAGAAAGGCATGGAAATGTGTGCGCCGTGCCTCTCCAGTGAAAGACCTTTGCGGCCTGAGCCTTAAAGCAGTAGGTGATTTAGGAAGGTGGACTTCTAAGTGCTGAACATTACAATTTAAAAAGACTTTTCCATCACCACTTACCTCCCCCATACCTTCCTCCACCTCCACCCACCCTTCCTCCTGCAGTCACCACAGTGATTGTCTATGAGTTCTTTTTCCTTTTGAAATAAAAATAAAAGACGTTTTATGAAAATCTTAAACAAATATCTTGGTATAGATTGTTAACACATAGTAGACTTTCATTTAATATATTTTGGATGAATGAAGTATTGAGATCAGTCCATTTGTAGGTATAGCCAACAATTTAGATGTAATTTTATAGGACATCAGACTGGATAAATGATCACTGCTCTGAGAGCTGACGTGCATACACAGGTACCAGCTTTGTCTAACCCAGGTGCTGGCCTGCACTGGTGATCACTCTGTCCGTGTTTCACTCGTGTATTCGCGTCCAGTACGCATATATACTCACACACGTAGGGGAGCACTGTCTTGTGTTTGAACACGACAGTATTGTGTTTTACTTTACCCTTTAATGCAGTGGTGTTGACTTTCCTTTCTTCATCGCTCAGTCCTCGCTGCTGCTCCAGCAGGCAGCCTTCAGCCGGCTCTCCTTCCTGTTCCGTTTATTAAATTCTGTTGGCTACTATTGAATAAATGATCCCATTGTGTGTGTTTTGTTTTTAATCTTTCAAGTCTAATCTCTAATGCTATCCATTGGTGCCTTCTCTGTGTTTTGTCTTTTTTGTCTCCTGTAATACAGTTCAAGTGTTTCTGTGGAAGAGAAGATACTAGCATTTGTTTCCTTTTCATGAGCTGCATTGACTTACTACTGTGTTTTGTAGTCTCTTGTCTGTTTTCTTTTTCCTGGTTTTGAAAGGTAACTGTTTCAATGTAAAAATTTGTTTCTATCTTTCACATCACTGCTGTTCTAGAAGTCTTAGCGTTGTTTTTTTCCACATAATCTCAGTTTAAACTAAATAAAACAAGTTTGAGTTAAACTCTTAAGAAGTACAAATTGATTGTTAGACTGACAAACTTCAAAGGGTAGGGGAGTGGGAGGGATGGGAAGAAATAAATCAAGGAACTTATATGCATATATACATAACCAATGCATACAGACAACAGTGTGGGGAAGGCAGGAAGGGGTCAGTAGGGGGAAAAGGAGGAATATCTGTAATATATTCAACAATAAAGATAAGTTTAAAAAACAAACAAACTACTAGAATGAGTTAGTGGAGGGGAGATAGGTAATTGATCATTTTAAATGGGTATTATGGATTACTTAAAAAAAAAAAGGCTTAGCGATGACAGAATGAAACTGTAAAGAGATCCAATTTATTTTTTATTTATTTATTTATTTATTTATTTATTTATTTATTTTTATCCTCACCTGAGGACATTTTTCCATTTTTTTGTTCAGATAGAGTGGGAAAGAGTGAGAGAGGAAGAGAGAGAGAGAAACATCGACGTGAAGGGACACATCGAATGGCTGCCTCCTGCACGACCCAACCAGGGCCGGGGACAAACTGCTACCGAGGTACGTGCCCTTAACGGGAACCGAACCCGGGTCTCTCTGGACCGCAGGCCAGCGCTCTAACCGCTGAGCCAAACCGGCCAGGGCAAGAGATCCAATTTAGAATCAAGGAAACAGGATGCCCTGGATATAAAGAGCTATCCCGGGTAATGGTTTAATTGGGGGCGGGGGAAAGAAATAGAAAACTAATTGTTTAAATGAATTGAGCATTAAGGTTTTGAGTGATGAATCTGGGAATTAGTAGATAGAGTAAGCTAAGGAATGAAATTCAAGCTTACATCAAGCGAAGGTCAGTTTGATATCTTAATCTTCAAATGTTTCTAACTCTGGCATCTCCTTTTCTATTCCCAGGCACGCGCTGGTCAGCGCAGGGATGGGCCTCTCGCGCTGATAGGCAGTGGGCTTTCTTCAGAGCAACAGAAGATGCTCAGTGAGCTCGCAGCAGTCCTCAAGGCTAGGAAATGTGCTGACTTTGACAGTACAGGTGAGGCTTATGTATTTCTTTTTGGTAGAAGAAAAGTTTAATTAGGTAACTCCTTTGTAGCACTCCATTGGGATATGGCTGTATACTTTGAATCTTATAAGAAAGCTAATATCTTTCCGCAGTTATAAAGTACGTACAGGCCTGATTTGGTTAGGAAATGTAGTTTAAAGCTTTGCCCTTAGTTTAGGACAGAACATATGTCAGAAGAGAACATTTGTGAGTTTGCTAATGACAGGGAAATTATAGTGCGTATAATACTTTAATTCCTCAGTTTTGATTTGAAAATAAAGGAAAAAATGGTATATGTTAATGTGGTTTTAAGATATTTGATTTATGATCTGATTTTTCATGTTGGTGGCCAGGCTAGAGGATCATAATAAAAGAAATATTATACCTAAATATAAAAATGGTTGTTTTTGAAGAAAGTTCAGATAGAAGTTTATAAAGTGCAGACTCACTGGCTATAAAATGCAGACTTGTTAAAGAATTATTTTGGTGTGTATCTCTTGTTTCTCTTACTGCTTTTTTTTTGTATTCTAGTAACTCATGTCATTATTCCTGGCGATACAGTTCAGAGTACGCTGAAATGTATGCTTGGGATTCTCAGTGGGTGCTGGATCCTAAAATTTGAGTGTAAGTGTTACATTTGGGAGAATTCCAAAATGACTAATCTCATTTTTCACAGTTCACTGTTGCCAATAATTATTTAAGGAACTTATACTAATTTTTTTTTTTTTTTTTTAAACCTCTGGTTAGTTACTGCATTTTGCAAAGGCTTGTCGTATTTATGGTATCATTTAGATGTTCTTGGTAATTGTCCCCAGAAATGTTCTGGTTTTAAAGTCTTTTTTTCTTCAATACCAACTGTTTTAATAAAGCATAAATGGGTTATGTAGTAAACTTTTAAGCCCAAGCAATCCATATTACTATTAAATGATACATTTTACTTCATAAATGCATCTTTTGAATATACTATTACGAAATGAAAGTAGTTTATCGCTTTTCCTCTATGATTTCTAAAAACTTATATGTAAACACCTTTTTGCTTTTTTCACTGATCCGTTAGGTTTTAGGAAGCTGCTGGGAAGTTTAGACTCTGCCTTGTTCTACCTGCTTTGAAGCAGTTATACCAGCTGTTCTCTAACCCTGCCCTGAAAGTGTCCCCATGAGCCGCTTGTTGCTGGCAGTCACACACCGTCAGAGCCTACACCGTCCCTCCTCGTCCTTGCTTGCTTTTCTCAGCCTTGGATTCACTTAGGACTTAAAGGCAAATAAAAAGAAAACTCATACAGGGTTATTTTCTATTCCTGAAGAGCAAAAGTATCTACTTCTGTCACAGGGGCTAGAATGGGACGGCGGATTGACCTTTTTGGTTAACTAATGGTTTAGGAAAGCATAGTGGTCATGGAAGGGTTACAGGAGGAGTCTTGTGATGATACAGTTGAGTATCTTGATCCTAGTGGTGTTACCTTTCACAGGGCTACACAGGTAAGTCACTTACAGATCTACACGCACACGCATACCGCACACCACACAAGTGCGTGTATAACTAATGAAATCTGACCAAGCTGTGTGGATTGTGTCAGTGTCAGCTTCTCGCTTTGGATATTGTGCTGCAGTTGTGTACGATGCTAACAATGGTCTCTGGAGGCAAGTGCACCGGACTTCTTTGGGCATTTCTTTGCAACTGCCTATGAATCTGTAATTTCAAATTAAACAGTTGAAGAAAAAAGAATACTGTGTTGTATATTTTTGATGAAACTTTCTTTTTAAGAAGCAAATAATGGATTAGAATTCACTTTTTAAAACTTTGTTTTATGGCTTTGTGCTTTGAAGGTTTTATGGTAGAAACGCTTGATTTATTAATATCTTAATTATATTATTTAATCTATATTTTTAAGTTGATTTGGTTTGTAAAACTGTTTCCTTTTGTTATTCATGTCCTTTTTTTAAAATAGTTTTTTATTTATTGATTTCAGAGAGAAAGAGGAGAGAGAGAGAAAGAGCGAGACATGAATTAGTTATTCCACTTATACATTTATTGGTTGATTCTTGCATGTGCTCTGACCAGGGATTGAACCCACAGCCTTGGCCTAGTGTGATGATGCTTTAACAACTGGTCAGGGCAGTATTCATGTCCTTTTTAAACGCAGCTGCCACCTTTCTCATGATGCTGGTCTCCAGTGCCCAGCTGAGTGGCTGTGGCAGGCGAGGGCACGCTGTTCTCTCCGGTCTCTGTTACCACTCTCCCGGTCACGACCAGTTTACACGGATGATAAGCAATTGGACTAACCATTTTCATAGGAAAAAAGTTTTCCTTTCTGTCTCACTCTTATTTTTTGGAACTTCTTTTCCCTTTCAAATCTGTGGCAAGTCTTACTGGGCCTCCATGTTTAAAACATTGATTTAAAATGGTTCCATGTGTATAGATGCTTTTGTACTGAATCTGTGTCAGAAATCTTGCCAGTGGTTATAGGCAGGAATAGATTTTCATAATAATAAGGTCTCAGTAATAAAGAAACCATGTGAAATGTTGAATGTTACGGCATTTACCACTTTGAGTGTATAGTTCTTGTGAATATGCTGCACTTGCATTTGGTTATATATACAGACTACATGATTCATGTCTATAAAATCTGCCTTCTTTAAGAAATGGAAGATTTTGTCAATTTAATGGCTTGGCCGTGTCATTTTTATAGAATCACTGATGGACTCAAGCTGACTTAATAGAGTGCTATTTGGTAATTCTCACAGTAGTGAATAACATATTCTAATATCGGTGCTTCTTTTAGTGTAAAGGATGGATGGGATCTCTTATTGAAGTTCATATTCCCATATTTCGTGATAGAGTCCAACGAGAAATGGGTTTAGGGTTTGAGACAATTGCTTTAAATAGTCACTGGGTTTATAAAAAGTAGGCAAGAACCTTCAAATATATATTTCTCGCAGTTTCTATATTAGTCTTAGGCATCTAGTTTTACTTAAAAAATGTTCAGAGCTATTCAAAACTATCCATGCGTATTAAACAAAAATAATGTGGAACAAAGCTTTCAAAATTAATTGTAAAGATCTGTGACTTATTAAAACTAGATACTGTATTTGAGGTTATTTATTAGCTTACTGGTGAGAAAACCTTCACTGGCTTAACTATGTAGAAACTTTAATATAATATCTTTTAGTGGGATTTTTCATAAATCACGTGGATTTAAGAGGAAACTATCTAAATGTTCTTTGTAGATAATTATTTAACAAATTAAACAAATTTAAGCAAATTAACAAAAAGAATAACCATCCAATTTATTAGAAGTTTTCTATTTAACCATGTTTTGTCTTAATTGTTAATATTCCTGTGTTTCTACATTGTACATGTAGAGTGTATTAGAATGTTACAGTTAATAGACTTAGCATGAAGATTCTGAAAATCAGCCATAATTTTACTATTGTACCATTCTGTCTAATCATATGTATTTTATTTTCTGTTTTCTTTTGTTAATCCTTACTGGAGGATAGTTTTTACTGATTATTAGATACAGTGGAAGGGAGGGAGGGAGGGAGGGAGAGAGAGAAACATTGATGTGAGAGAGACACATCGATTGGTTGCCTCCCTTGACCAGGAATCGAACCTATGACCCTTCAGTCCGTGAGCCAACGCACTAACTGCTGAGCCAAACTGGCCAGGACTAATCATATGTATTTTATACAATTTATAGAAATGGGAGCTATAGACAGGAGAAGTTCCTTCTGTAAGACTGAATTTGTGGCTGAGATTCTGTTTTAGTCCTGGTTTTGGCACCAGCTCTGTGTAAGGGTGAATTTTGGTAGCAAGGGACTAGAATAAACAGTCGACGATATATAAATGTCTTTCCATCGATCTCTTAGAGTATGAATAAGGCAGAACTGCATCCTAAAGATGTAAATGAGCCTGCACTAGGAAAATATCTTTTGACTTGCTCTTTTACTACACTGCTTTGAAAATTTCCTCTAGCCTAACCTTCAAAAAACAAAAATTAATTCTGCCTCTTCACTTTTCATCTCATTGTGAAGGGGACAGCAGATGGCTCTCCCCCTCTCCTCTGAGCTGAAGTAAGATTGCTGCTGTAGGAGTTTCCCCAGGCCTCAGCACCTGAGGGGATGCCGTGGGAATGTGCCTACGAGGTGACCGAGGACTTGAATCTGAGGTTCAGAAAGGCCAAATCGGGTGGGTTTTCTTTCTGTTTTCGTTGAGGGAGATGGAACCTAAGAGACAATCGTGTCATCATTTTATTAATAACCTAATAATCAGATTAACATACTTTTACTTTTCTATTAAACTGTGTTTCTTCAAAAGGATATTGAGAGTTCTATGGAATTTTAAAAATAAATGTAATGATTTTTCTATTCAAATTATGAAGAAGTAAATATACCTGAGCATTTCTGTCAACTAAGATTGATTAGGCAACTTCATGCTTACAGAAATCCTTTACTAAAGATTCTCCAAGAATAAAAAAATAATAGTAATTTCCCTTCTGAGAATTTACCCTTAGCAAGTAATACAGATAAAAGAACAAAAAACTATTTGTGTTATTTCAAATAGCGAAAAGTAGGTGGAATAGCCTAAATGTGAGAGAATTAGAGAAAATTCTGGAAGGCTTAAAGGTATTCTCTGAAAAAATTATACTTTTATATGATTATTAAGAATGAACTGTTATGAAAAACAGAATTGTTTCTGTTTTAAAATGTATAGAACAATTGTATTTTTACTTTCAATAATCTGTAAATGTGTACAGCAGAGAAATAATCAGCAAAAAACAGTAGTGGAGCCCTGACCAGTTTGGCTCAGAGGTTAGAGTGTCGGCCTGCGGTCCGGAGAGACCCGGGTTCGGTTCCCGCTAAGGGCACATACTTCGGTTGCAGTTTGTCCCCGGCCCTGGTTGGTCGTGCGGGTGGCAGCCACTCGATGTGTCCCTTCACACTGATGTTTCTCACTCTCTCTCCCTTCCTCTCTCTCCCTCCCACTCTATCTGTACAAAAAATGGAAAAATATCCTCGGGTGAGGATAAAGAAACAAAACAAAACAAAAAAAAACAGTAGTGGATTAGTCAGTAGATGCCTGTTTGTTTAAAACCATTTTAAGAACAATGTGTCTATTAAATGGAATTCAAGTTCTCAAGGAAGAAATTGAACTTCTCAAGTTGTAATAACAATCTTCTCCTTTGGTCTGTCCATGGAGTAATTGAGTAGGTAAGGGCTTGGTCTCAGGGAAATTAGAACCTGTGTTTGTATCTCTCTCTAGTCTCATATACCAGATCTCTGTACTGTTATTCAGACCCAGCCAATGCATTCCGATGTGTGACGCTTGTCCTAATCAAAGCAGATATTCTTGCATAAACTTTTGAACTTTGAATATATGGCTGAAAAGAACACCAAGTATGAGTTTTTAGATTATTTTATTAAGAAAATTTTGGACATTGGGCCAAGTTTGGTCTTTAACCACATCTGTAAAGAGAATTATTTTGATATTATTACTCATAATATAAAGTTTTTAAATTGCTACTCAAATTTGCCTATGAAAACTTTATGATACAGTGATGTATAATGATAGAACTTGACCTGTTTTCTTAATATGCATTAAATATAATAAATAGAGCATACTA